TCAAGTCTGATGTAAGATAATCGCATGAATAAACACATAGAGAATATCCTGGTCCACATACACACAATTTCTCGCAAGGATATCAACTTCGGGAAGGGCGCCTACTGATGCATTGTCCCATACCAATGAACCGACAATAACGAATCTGACTCAGGTATAGTATACTAATCCTCTAACATACACCCGTGAGCTAATAGTGGTTTGGTGCTCGCAAAGCACCAACCCCACTACGAGTGGTAGGAAAAGTTTAAAACCACACGGAGCAAAAACCACACACATCTATCCACTCTACGATACCCGGTCAATGGCCATCCATGGTTATCCAAACACCTGCATGAGATACAATCACCAACAATTTCTCAAACACACTCAATTCCATAAATCCCTAATTTTTCACATCCAAATTCATATTTATTTCACAATGGAATAATTTAAAAAAAATTAACAAGAGATCATCATAAATACTATTGTGTTGTTCAATACGAAACACTAAAGTTTTGAAATCAAGAGAAAAATCCACCTCTTGAAATCTAGGATTTTGAATATGAGAAAAGAACTTTAATGGTTACCCAACCATCCCATTATTTAAAACGTGCTAACATTTGTAAAAATATCAAGAATCCATGATTTCATAGCATATTAATATGATTTAGAGTCAAAGAAAATATATATGTATAACCCTAGCCTCAATGTAAGAGAATGGAAGAAAACCCCTACTTGAATCAAAATTTCAAGCAAGAACCCAAGTTCTAGTGACCTCCTTCTTCCCTTTTCTTCTTTTCTTAATCTTTCTCTAAGGTTCGAAGAGATGTGGGGTGAGAGTGGAGTGAGGAGAATGAGAGTAAATGAGATGAAAATGGATTTTTAAACACAATAGCCCTGATTTTTACTAGTCACTGGCTGTTTTTGGTTTCTCCAAAATTACGATTTTGCCACTAAGAATCTTCAATTTTATCCATATGGCTACCCTAAGGTTTTTCGACGTTTCGGATTCATTTTTAATGTTATTTTAACTTAAAAATATTTATTTTATGATTTATTTCAAAACTAAAATAAATTTACACTCGAAACATTAAAATTACTATATTATTCCTCCCTAGTATTTATTCTTACGGTTTCAGTATATATGATTTATTCTTACGTCATTACATATATAAGAATCACTAAACAGGTACATTGTTATATTAATATAAACATGTGATGGTTTACACCTTCCAAGTCTAAGAAGAAAGCACAACATTTTACTATCTAAAGAACACCACAGTGCAGATTTTTTGATCAACTTCGGAGAATAAACTGATTTAACTCAGGTATTTCTAGTATGTGTGACCTATATGGTTGGAAAAATATACGAGTTAGGGTTCAAAAAAAAATAACGGTGCACAATTTGGACTTTCCAACAAAGAGTTATGATCAAATTGGTGAAAGGTAGTATGCCGGACTGTTTGGTTCTTCTATACTTGTCTAACTCGAGTTTGGGTGTCTTTTGTCACAAATTCTATCTCATACCCATCTCCAATATGGATAGTATAGCTTGTATAAAGATCCATGTCTAGCATCATTCATTAACCAAAACTAAATTACCATCCGTCTCTTAGAATCATTTATAACAATATGATGTAGAACTAGTATATCCATCAACATTTTTCTTCCATTCCTCTAAGTTAGCTAATTGATGAGAATGCAAAATGTCATATTTTTTCTCTTTTAATATTTAGCCTTTTATACTTATTTGGAGCCTAAATATATTTATTATTCTTATATTTTGATTTAGGATGTAAATGGAGATGTTAAATGCAAAACGAAGCTAATTGGATGATTGTTGATAGTTTAGACATGTGAGGGTTTACAAAAAATGGATTATTACTCCATCCCATAATACGATTAATCCAGCATGGGCTACATGAGCTCCTAGTAGTTTACTGGATAAATTAATAAGTTGGGCATTCCTAACCCACGAAGCGAAACCGGTGGTTTCTTAGTCACGACCAGCTAAAACAAAACCTCCTCAAGAGTTATTCGGGATCTGCAGAATTTTAAAACTAGCAACCAACTAGTTTCACGCCAAGAAAACAGCATCCAGAGCAACAATCCCAACTATTTGGAAGATATCTTAGGAAAATGTTTTGGCACTGGTGTATATCCTATATGTACTGTCCATTTTTTTTCTCAAGTAGTGGCACATATGTGCAAGGGTGGAGCATGTTGGCAATTTCAACATCTTCAATCTTCTTTAGCTTCTCAACGATTTCATGTGCAAGCAGTTCCTTGTGTCTTGGAGATTTGTAGTGGCACCTATTTTACATGTTGATACCTCTAATCGCTATTGGAGTTGATGGTCGATTAACCTCCTTAGACGCATTCTTACACCAACAAATACCATTGATTAGATCTGCAAAGGACCAACAACAACTGATCAACCAGATGCCTCAAATAATGTTTGGCGGTACCATGACTTGTTTGTTCATGTTGGTTTTCAACATTGTTCTTCCCTTTATACAACCATGGGGGGCTCGTTTTGGGGATTCCAGCAATTTGCTTGCTGGTTGCTACTCTTCAGTTTTTCATGAGACCATTTTCTTACGTTCGTGTCAAACCATCTGGAAGTCGAATCACATGCTTGTTTAGAGTTATTGTGGCGGCCTGTATAAAGATTCAGCTTTTGTGCCCATAGGATCCAAGGAAGCTCTACGAGAAGTATGACCTTGGAAACGATCAGGAGCTGCTGCCTCACACAAACCGTCTTAGGTGATGACCTTTGTCCTTGTTAAACTATCATCTATTCTAGAAGCTTAAACTGTTAAAAAAACATGTAACAAAAATGTTTATATAATATCCCTTTCCTCAATTGCATGACTAATGACTGGTGAGGTTGTGGAAACAATTTGCCTTGCTGGGGTTGGGGAGCGCATATAACGATATGTCATTTAGCACATTGTGACTTTCACATTCAACATCTTGAATTATTTCTCTTAACACGTCCTTAATCTAGCAGGATTCTAGACAAAGCAACCATCCTAACTTGATCACAAACTATTGAGGAATAAGAGAACCAGAAATGGAGGCTTTGCAGGATCACTGACGGGTTTGTGGACCCTGTGACAGTTATAGTTAGTTAGAATTTAGTGTTATTTCTAATAGTTACAACGAAGTCATATTATTAGGTCAACAAATTAAATTAAAATTTTAAGTTCTAATAACATTATTCTTGTCTTTAATTATTTTTAGCTGACTATTATTTAAATGAGTTATTGTAGTTAAAAAGTTAAAGTATTAAATCATAATATAAACTGTTAGATCTAAACAATCTAGACTGTTATTGTATTTTTCTAAGTGAAGAGCTTAAACAGCTCAAACAACACGCTCAATTCTATTATATTATCTATTATTGGGATGGAAAGACCAGCAAAAAAAAAAATTATACCATTCCATGTTTTGCTGCTAAGGAGGTTTGATGGGGAGACCTCATTAAAGAGTTTTGGGTTGTTTCCCTTGTTTTTCTTGTTTTCTATTTTGGCTTGAAAACTCAGAGAAATTTTTGTTCTCAATTCCCACTTTTTTTGAATTTTCTTTTTTAGAAATTGTTGTCCAAACAGCATCATAATAGTTTTACTATTTTTGAGAATAGAAAACTGTTTTGGAGAACAAACCACGCAAACCAGTATTGTATTGATCATTGTAACTCTAACTCTAGCTTGATAAAGTTCGTTGTGTTTGATTTTTTTCCCCTAAATCGATCTTCATGTGTTAAGTTAGGCAAACGAGATATCAAAGTATTCCATGTGGAACAGCAAGGTGTTTCTACCGGATGTTTGGAAGCTAAATTTCACCATTCTGCGGCCACTGTGAGTGTCATGACAGGCTCGGTACATGTTATGTCAGTCGCCATGACGTTCCTTATGGAGACTTTTGTTAGTGACTATGGGATGCTCTCTATTTCAAGCCTTTCATCAAGCATACTAAGTTTGCTCTCTGCTCGCGCTTCCATACCTTTATTATATTTCATCTCTTCAACAAGTTTATCAATGAGCATAACAACTTTTTTGTTCCAATGGAGAGAAAAACCTATGATTAGCTTTTCGGGAAATTTTTGAACGAAGAATTTCAACAAAATCTTTCAATTTCTTATTTTATTAGGTTCAACTCTGTATATCTTGACCAATTTCTATCGTGCAACATTTCAATTTCGATATTTTTTGCCCCACATTTTTGTTTCTCATCACAATTTATATTTGTTTATGAATAGAATCGGGATCTCTGTTTGTTTCCTTTTTCTTAGCGATTTAGAATCGAGCAAGTAGTCAAATGTAAGAGAATGTCTAGGAATTTCTATTTCCAAATTTAGAATATATTGGTGTTAGTATATTCCTTTTTTATTAGAATATTGATTGAAAATGGACCATTACTCCGACCCAGAATACGATTAATCTGGCTTTCCTAACCCACCAAGCGAAACCGGTGGTTTCTTGGTCATGACCAGCTAAAGCAGAACCTCCTCAGGAGTTACATGGGATCTACATAATTTAAAAACTAAGGAACCAACTAGTTTCACACCAGGAGAACAACATCCAGAGCAACGACCCAACTGCTTGGAAGATATCTTAAGAAAATGTTTTAGCACCGATGTATATCCTATATGTACTGTCCATTTCTTTTCTGAAGTAGTGGCACATATGTGCAGTGGAGCATGTTGGCAATTTCAACATCTTCAATCTTCTTTCGCTTGCCAACGATTTCATGTGCAAGCAGTTCCTTGTGTCTTGGAGATTTGCAGTGGCACCTATTTTGCACATCGATACCTCTAATCGTTGTTGGAGTTGCTGGCCAATTAACCTCCTTAGACACATTCTTGCTTCAAGAAACAACATTGATTAGATCTGCAGAGGAACAACAGTAACTGATCAACCACATGCCTCAAATAATGTTTGGCGGTACCATGACTTGTTTGTTCGTGTTGGTTACAACCATGGGGGGCTCGTTTTGGGATCCCAGCAATTTGCATGGTGGTCGCTACTCTTCAGTTTTTCTTGAGATCATCTTCTTACATTCGTGTCAAACCATCTGGAAGTCGAATCACAAGCTCGTTTAGAGTTATTATGACAGTTTGTACAAAGATTCAACTTTCGTGCCCACAAGATCCTAGGGTGCTCTATGAAAAGTATGACCTTGTAAACAATTAGGAGCTGCTACCTCACACAAACCATCTCAGGTGATGACCTTTGTCCTTGTTAAACTACCATCTATTCTAAAAGCTTAAACTATTAAAAAAATATGTAACATAAATGCTTATATAATATCCCTTTCCTCAATTGCATGACTGATGACTGGTGAGGTTGTGGAAACAATTTGGCTTGCTGGGGTTGGGGAGCGCATATAACGATATGTCACTTAGCACATTGTGACTTTCCCATTCAACATCTTGAATTCTTTCTCTTAACACATCCTTAATCTAGCAGGTTTCTAGTCAAAGCAGCCATCCTAACCCGATCACAAACTATTGAGAAACAAGAGAACCAGAAATGGAGGCTTTGCAAGATCACTGAAGTGGAAGAAACTAAAATATTCTTCACAATGATTTCCATGTTGATGTCTTTTATCATCTGTGGAATTGTTTCCTCAATGGGGACCTCTTTTTTCCTAGAGCAAGCCATGAGTATAACTCATAGATTTAGGTTCTTAACATTCTCATTCCTTATATTCTTCTATGCATTCTCCATGTATATATCCGCAAGCATTTATGCTTTAATTGCAATCATCGGAAGCATTTTTGGAATGGTGAAGCAAAAACACATACCTGCAATAGGAATTGGATTTGGAATCATGATATCCATTTTCTGTTGTATTGTCGTCGCGCTGGTGGAGCAAAGGAGGTTAAATGTGGCCAAGGGACATGGCCTAATCCACGTCCCTCATAGCACAATCCCAATGAGTATTTTCTGGCTGATTCCTCAGTTTCTCCTCTTAGGTGCTGCACAAGGGATTGTCCTCAGTAACATGACCCTTTTTTGGGTCGATCAAGTACCTAATTCAGTGCAGTAAAATTTGAGCAAATTCACTGAAACGTTCTTGGGAGTTGGATTCATAGCTAGTGTTCTAACTGTTAATGTTGTGGGAAAGATTAGCGACGAGACAGGGGGTGAAAGCTGGTTCGGGGAGACACTAAACAAAAGCCAACTAGATAAGTACTATTACACACTATTAGCAATGAGTTGTGCCAATCTTTTTTTCTATGCACTTGTTGCTTCTTGGTTTAATTACAAGGAGGTAAACGTTCCAACAGAAGAACAAGAAGTGGTAGATGAAGAAAGGTTTCAATACCATGAAGAGTAATACCATTAGGTGGTGATCAGGGCAAGTCCAAGCGAGTAACAGGCTATAAGTTTAATCTGTGGCCAGCCATGAAGTTTCAAGCATGAGTCTGTCCCTTCTTCTTTGTTTTTGTTATTTGTAGGTAAATAATGTAATAGTAGCAAGGTATGACGAACTTTACTTTTCCTTTTGAAAGATTTCCGTCTACCGTATAACTGTTTTAAACCTCATTTAAGCTGCAGAATGAGTGAAAAAAATTTCTCAACCTCGAACTTACTTAAACAAATAGTGGTTGACTTTCGCAAGAAATCAAACTCCCTACAAGTGTTATGCAACCTTAAACCCTTCATTGTAGAAAGATTTCTAACACTTTACAATACGAATTTGAGTATAATTCACCCTCATAACACCCACCCATACAAAAACTAATTTACTTTTCATAAAATTCGCATATCAAACCATTTGTAACGAAAAATTCCAAAAAATAAACGAGTACTCAAATCAAAATATGCAAGAGATGATAATTAAAAATAAACAGAGAACTAAAAAAATGGAAGAGAATGCAAAATGTGTAACAGGCCGAAATGTGCAAGGTCTACTTATGCTTCACAAAAGGGAAATCTTGTGGGCCCAAGAGGGCTCACCCCATATGGTTCAAATATAACCACCAAATCCTCCGTGGTTTTGGGCCAATATAAAAAATTAACACCATTCACGTCCCAAATTTTCTAGGGCTGATTTAATAATTTGAGTGATAATTCGTAAGTTTTTACAGTTTGAGTGAGTCAATCATGTTTTCATTTAATGAATTTTCTTTTAGAAAATTGGCATCCCAGAGCTATTAAAACAAACCCAAGCATTATTACATACGACTGTTATCCTTAAGTTTCAATATTACATAATAATTTGTAGGTCTCCAAAGCAAAGCACATAAGAAGTACATAGCCAAAGACCTTCAACATAAGTTCGAAATACATAAACATCCAAAACAAGATACATGCTAAAAGAAAGCATTCAAGACAATTTCGGGAAAGAAGTCCTCTTATCTCCAAGCTTATTACCTGCAAAATGAGGTAACAAATATTGTTACATGCATTACAATAGTACATACGTTGCACACAACATATAAATGCCTAAATCACATGCATTGCATCCACCATAAATATTATTTCACACCTCCTTACTTACCAACTCTAGATTATCCCTCTCAAGTCCAACAATTTGGGGGGGGAAGCTAGGACCACTTAATAGGTTTGCACCTCTGTGTGTCCCACCACTCGTTTCTAACTGCTTTCAATTAAGGATACAAGTAACTCACACGTCTCTCGGACGCTAAAAAGTTTGGTCAAAACTCGGTTTGAGGCCTTTTACCCTAGGGAGCACAATCCCTTCTTTCTTATCCCCATTATGTCCATTACCGCCGTGAAGTCTAATTCGTTTAATTTCATCGCTTATTCGGATGATGAAAACATAATAAGCATAAAATACAATCGAATCATTGAATTCTATAATAATACCAAGATAAGACTTAATCATTACATGTAAAGCACATATTGTGGTAGGTATGATTCAATCATGTTGTATTATTGTCGATAATCCCACCATGAGAATGTATGCATGCAATTAGAATCTAAGTAAAGTCTTTGTTAGGCCTTTGCGATCATTATTACACATTCTAGTGATAATTATAAGTTAAATTTCACCAAGTATAGTGTTTAGTCACCTTTTAACACAAGTAGGTACTTTGTCACATAATAGCTAAAAGATAATAGGGACTTCGACGATTTTTTTAAAAATCGCAAAAATCTGAATTAAGTTGCGAAATTTCTTGTGTACAATGTAAATGAGTCACAAATGTGCAGAAAAATTAGCACGGCAATCTAACATGAAATACTAGCTAGTCACGACATTCCTCCATATGTGAGTTGTACTTTGTACGTAAACTAATAGGAAAAAAGGTGGAATTTCTCCCTCTCTCTCTCTCTCTCTCTCTGCTGAACACTAGAAGACTCCACCTTTTTCTTCATTTAAGTTATATATATATATACTTGTGCAAGGCCTTGCATGCAAGGTACACAAGTCAATTTTTTTTTTGTTTTTAATCTCAACTGATAACGGAACGAATTATAAATTCAGACGTTTTAAATTCGAATTTTGATAGTTTTTGTGGTCAAACCACGAAAAATTTATACCTCATGAACAAACTAGTACAGGTGTGAATGACCTACCTTAAACCGGACCGAAAAATAAATTAATTGAGGTATACGTAAATCGGCTCAAACACTCCTGATTGTGAACCCAAAAAAAAAAATCACTTTTTGCACTCAAGGTACACACTTGTTTGTGTGCAAATCACTACAAAAACAGTTAGACACCTCTCTCATACAAAGTTTTTGCTTTATTATATTTTCTACCCTATAAGTTTGGTTAGATTGGATCTTAACTTTTATATTAATAGCACAAATGTTCTAATATAATGACTTAACATATAAAATTTCCATTTCTCACATTTTCGTCCCCTAGTTCAATTCAGAACATTATCTTATACTTAAATGGAAACATATTATCTGAAAAAACTTAGGAGCCATGCCATCACCTGATTCAAGTTGAGAATATTGAGCTATCCCGTGGTCCTGCTAAGCACAACAACAACAGCTGTGCTCGTCGGTGATCTGTTGGCCAAGTCCTTAACTACAATTTGGGTCAACTTGTGATACACTTTCTCCGTTATTTCCTTTCCAAATTGGTAAGAGATGATTGATTCAGTGAAGCACCTGATATTCTTGGCAAGTTCTTCTCCCTTAGCCCTTGTATCACTCTCTTGGTTGTCTACAATAGCAAGTGTAGATGTCTCTAAATGTTCAACTGCGAATGATCCCTCCTTGTCAACTATATCTTGCACTTCCTCCTGTAATGGCGTGTAGTATGGTACATTGAAGGAGTCCAACTTTTCTTCATCAACCAAGCCCTACAAACGAACAAGTGGTAAGAAAAAAATTTTAAACCATCCATCACATAGTTTTGTATAATTTCTTTCAAAAGATTGATTAACAACCCGAGAAACTAGGTAATTTCATACCTCGAGGAACAAAGATTAAACATTTACCTATTGAAAAATGTCACAATAAAACCTAGGCAACATTAGTGAGACCCCTCACATCCTATGGAATTTGTTTGCACACTAAAATGATTGTTCCTCTTAAACACCAATGTGCTCTTTATTCTTTGTTGGTGGATGTCCTTTGAGGGAATAGAGTCCCCCCCCCAAAAAAAAAAAAAATCCCTAACTCAGGAATCCTTCATTTGTTTGTCAAGTCTTGTTCTGAAGAGAATTTCATCCGAATTCACACATAAAAAAAAACTTAATTATTTTACACTAAGCGATGTGCAGTATCAAGTGTTGTAAACCAGTGCATGCTCCGTGTAGTCTCTTTTTTTTTTTTTGGGGGGGGGGAGGGGGGAGGATAATGAACATCATTATACGTTTATAGTTTCTAAAAACGATTTTATTTTCCAAAAAAACTTTACCTGTGAAACCATCTCAGATATGGCCCCGGCTAATATTTCCCAATGGTAGCAGCTCTCTTGACACCAGGGATCCGAGGCTTGTCGACCATTAAGTATCAAGACCATACGACCATTTTGAACCATCTCTTCAGCACGAGACTTCAAAAACAAGGTGAAATCTTCTTTAAATTGAGCTAGATAGGCTGCTGCTACAACAGGAGGGCTTGTCTTTGATATATAGATCTTCCCCTTGTTCAATGGCAAGCCTTCCTTGCTTGTAAGTCCTTTGGGTACCTTTTGTTCATCAAGTTACATTGAAATAATTAATCAGTACTTGTGTGACATGTCAAAAACAAACATGTCATGTTTTAATTCAGACATCCGTTAGTAACATTTTTTTTTTAAGAATATGTTTTTCTAAAAACAATGAAAATTACTTTTGTGTTTTCTCCTTGTCCTTTCGTAAAAATTAAATCCCAAGTAACAAGCATTTCAAGAAGAGTAATACTATTGAAATCTTAAAAAATTGACTTAATTGACTTAATCATCAAATTGAAGTGTAAAGATCAAAGTGATGACCCTAGATGCATTTTTGGTATACAATGTATTTTTATTCATGTACTATTACAACAATTTATTAACTCGGGATTCTTATTTTTTTTTAAGCATTAAATGCTCTACCCACATGATTACCCGTTGAAAAAGAAAATTGGGAGTTAAATAGGGTTAAAAAGAGAGATAGTTATTTATTTAGAAAAAAATGTACAACAATATTGATATTTTATGAATGAGATTATTGAATGGAATAAAGATCTGAGTTATGTGTAGTTATTTAGAAAGTAATAAAGGGTATTATGGGTATTTCAAGGGTGAACACCAAGCCATTTCCTCTCCTTTTATTAAAAGTATAAATTAAGAGAGAGCAATAATTTGTATCTACTTGGTATTTCTATGTCACAAATATCTATTTACTCAAAATCTCTAACCTTTTTTGTTTTTTTTGTGTCTTTGGAACTTTCAAAATTGCTGGTCCATATTTCACTTTTAATTTAGTATCCTTTTTTGTGAAAAAAAAATGCATTTAATAATCCATTTTCATCTGCCCTCTTGTGGTCTCTCTTCCGCTCCCCGTCTAAAATGAAATATCAAAACTTATTGGCTAGGAAAAAAAATTCCAAATCTAACTAGGAATTATTTTAATGAAAAATGAATATAAACATTGTGATGTATAAGTATTAGGGTTAATTGCACTAGAGGTTCCCAAAATATGAGACTTGTCTCATTTTGGTTCCCAATATTTCAATTACATTATTTTGGTCCTTGAAGTATAAGCAATACTATTCTGACTAAATCATTTACCAAATTTTGTATCTCAAATCAATGTGAGTGGTTAGATCAGTGGAGTCTACTAACTCCACCAAATATTCAATGCATGAAATTTTGACACATCATTTGAAATATAACATTAGGTAAACATATTTGAGCAACATAGTTTTATTCCTGAAATATTCAATATATTTTTATGTGGTCCCTTAAGTCAATTTTTTTATCATAAACTTGTCATGTAATACGTAAATATGGGTAAAAAATAATTTGGATAACTCTTAACTAAATTTATTCTCAAATTTTTGTCTAAGAACTATACAAATTACATAGTTTTAATCATAAACGATCTAAAATTTGGTCAAAAACTACCTCTATTATACATTTTTTGCAAAGCACTGTCCAAATTTTGGTTAATAATTATCCAAATTATTTTTTGTCCATATTTAGGTATCACGTGATATTGTCTACTTGAGGGATCACATTGAAACATATTCAATACTTCAAAAACCAAAATTATATAATTGAAATATTAGAATCAAAATAAAACAAATTTTATATTTTGAAACCTCCACTACAATTAAGCTGAGGATTAAGACTGTCAATTATATCCACGACTTGTACATCTGACACAGGATCCAGAGCCAAACAAAGTGAGTGGGTTTGAATTTATTTTTAGATCATTTGGATAATTATCGGGTGAACTATAGAACATATAAAGTAAATAAGTCGATACTTAAATATAATACACATTTTGTTAAACACAAATCCAACATGTTACAAACCTAAAATAGATTAACTTTGAGTTGAATAAATTTTGAATTGATTTAAAAATAAAACACCACATGAAGTATTGAGATGCCTACTTCGGATTTCTTGTTTACAAAGAGGATGCAGATTGATGCAAACCTGAGAGAGCCAGTGGACACTGTAGGAGGAATGAACAAGATGCAACATGCTGCGAGGAAAGAGGCGGCCATAGAAAGAACCAGGAGCTCCCATCACAAAGCATGGAAGAAGAACATCACTCTTTTGATCTTCACCGACTCTAGACAAGTCTTTGAAGAGCGAATTGAAATCATTACCGGGAAGATCGCTCAAGTAAAACTGAAGCTCCGGCGGTTGGCAATTTAACTCCTTGCATTTCCTCTCCAAGCTTTCTTTGACGGTTAAAATGAAGGAGAAAGTGTTCGGACCGGCCGCGCAACCGAGATCGGCCACATTGAGAACTTTTTTCCGGTGGAAATCTTCTGAGAACAGAGAATGAACCGCATTTACCAGTATATGTTTGGTTATGGAAGTCAATTTTTGCTGCACATGACCAGAAGATTGAATCGATCTGTAAATAATGTTGATTAAACAGAAATTTGACTCGAAAATTGATGTGCAAAATGATCTTGCGATAACTATAGATTGATATGATGATTTGAATGAAATTTTCTTACAAACTAAGTTCTGTTTGTGAATGATTTTCCTTTTTGAACAGAAGAAAATGACTTGATGTTTGGAAAGTAGAACACGGCATAAATTAGGGAGAAATTTGAAGCAAAATTCTTGTGCAAAATGATATTGATTCAATTACAGATTGATATATGATGATATGGAAGAACTTTCTCACAAAAATAAGTAGATGTATGGAAAATAGAGCATACCGTAAAGCCTGGGTGTTGAGCATAGGTTGATTCTACTTCTCCTCCGTTCATGAAAAGTGTTTCCTTCACATCCATTTTCTCTCTCTCTCTCTCTCTCTGTAGCTATCAGGAATTGGTGATTAGGATCGAGGGGTCAAAGTGCTAATTAAATTCTACCACAGACTTGGTGAACAGACTTTAGCCAATCAACCAATAATTTGAGTTTCTTTACAACATATCTTCCTACTACTATAAATAAAGGCCACGAATACTTAGATAATTCAATTTAATTTTGATCTATTTATTTTATACTATTTTTTTAACTTGTGATCTGATTTAAATATCATAGTATTTTTAACTACCGTCACCAACCAACTCACCTAACTACAATTCATCCAAATCTTATATTTTATACTTACCACCCAGTCAATCTATCATCTAAATCTTATCTTCAATGCTGACTCACTACCCACTCAATCCACGTTTTTGCACCCACTCAATCCACGTTTTTGTACTTTAGTCTAAGTGGTGACTAGCTTTTCGCCACATACACAGTGAAAAAGATTCCGAGCAAATACTCACCATTCAATTATCAATCAATTTACCTTCGTTTGTCGGTGGGAGCAATTATTGCAAACCTAATCAGGATCTAAGTCATTTATACCACCATTATTTGGATGTTGTTTGTCGGTGGGAGCAATTATTGCAAACCTAAGGATCTAACTCGTTTATACCACCATGCGGACACAATTTATTATAAGCTATGATGATAAATTTAAATTTAAGTGGCCTAAAACACCCGGTGGACTCAATAGAAAACAACCCAAATAGCCCATTTGAATAGAGCCCGCCATATAATGTGATTGGGCCATAGCCCAAAGTTGTAGAAGCTCAACACCGTCCAATTCGAAATATATATCAGCTCGGTTCCAGCAAGATCAACAACATATACTTTCTCGAGAATAAGAAACTCAACACAAGACCAACTCAACGACCCGAACACAACTCAGCTTAGCAGAAAAGTTGAACACTGCTGCTCAGATTCTTTAGGTGATATCTACCATCTCTTTTCAAGAGGAAAATGTATGACCAAGATGATTTTTCTTTTAAAATGTGGTCAATTTTAGTAAGTTATGCCCTTATATGAGAACTATGCTAATTTTTTTGGTCGTAGAGAAATTGTTGTAGTTTATTCGAGATTTTTTGCATTAGTTCATTGTCGTTCTCCATACAAATTGTTTTTGTGTTAGGTTAAATGCTATAAAGAAATCATGTAAAATCTCTTAAAATTTGATGGCTCGAGAGGGCCTTTATTTAATTTTTCTTTGGAATTATGGGAATGCCAGTTCGCTCAGAGTAAAAAGATTAGGTTTAAGTTCTCTTGTGTAACACACACTATAAGATTAAGAAGGCAAATTATTGAAAATCAAAAAGAATGGAACGTTGTTTCGCTCTTTTTTGATGTGCTACCCCCCTACGTCCCCTTTGATTGCCTTGTAGTTTTCTAGGGAACAGGGATCAAAATCCAATAATGCTATAAGCAATATTTGATACACGAGGAGTATGGAATGCATGGTTATCAAAATTCTGATATGGATTTTAAGATCTTATATGATGGGTTATAAGTAAATCGATTTGGGTTTACATGGGAATGTAGGATTCCGATCTGAATTGTGATCTTACTGATTCAAGTTGTTAGGTTTGCTTATTAGGTGCATTTAGTTGTTGAGCAACCTAGTTCATGTTTTTCGTTTAAAAAAGAATCTTTTTATTCATTCGTCTCTCTTTGAAAAGTTTAAAGGAACGGTTAGATTTAATTTTCTCTCTCGGCATGTGATCATAGCCAAATAGTATGATATTTTTATTATGCTTTGCTTTTTTTCTTTGGATGTCGTATACTCAATATTATTATTTAACAACGTTTCAACTTTTTAGTCTCTCTCTCTTTGAAACTTAAGAACAAAATACTTCAATCCTTATATTTCTCTTTGCAAAATTCTACATGATTAACAACAATTCACCTTTGATTTTAAACCTTCTTTAGTATTCAAGTTATAGTTTATCAAATTTCAAGCATATTTTAAGTTCTATGTTTGACCATTCCAAAAAAAAAAAAAATTATGTTTATCATAGCATTTCTATTAGTATATATACTAGGCTTATCTAGTTTTATTTTTGGGAATTCTATATTGCTACATATATTTTTTATCTCATTTTTTTAATTAATAGGATTTTATAATTCTTTATTAGATTTTATAACTTCCTCGATTGATCCAATATAATATTTTGATTTTAAAAACGTTGATGAAATATAAACGTGACTAATGGGTGTGATTAGTTACTGAATATAAACAGAGAGAAAAAGTGAATCCGTTTTGGGGTCACAAAATATATAAAGCATACTCTTTGTTTGGATGACAACTGATTATGACAATGAATCCATGATATTCAATGTATTGATAGCCCCACTCCCACAGGTGGGGATGGTTTGCCTTGGAAAAGACTAGGCAAAGCTCTCTGCATAATCCTTTTTTCCTCCTTTTATAATGGCAACTTGAAATACAAAAGGTAACCCCAGATGCAATGTTCCATTTTGTGCACGTGGGTTCATAGTTTAAGACTTTAAGGGTTTTTTAAAAAAATATAAAAAATAAAAATCAACAATTGATTTAAGTTATTTCTAAAAAGAAGTTAAAAAAAAAAGGTTAGACATATGCAATTCAGTACATGAGTATTTGTACTTTTGCGAGTTTTGAATTGGATTAGATTTATACAGTTTTGTATCCAGATAGATTGTTTGTACGATTCGAACTCTTAACTTTTAAGTCCAAATGGAATAAAATTATCGTTATGCTAGGAATCTCTCTCAATGAACAATTTTTTAATGAGTTAGACAAAAATTCATTTTTCTCCATAAATTGTTCAACTTCACTGGTGGGATGATTGAGGATCAGCAGTTGGCTTAATGGCCACCGTAACTCCTTCGGGTTAGATCATGAGAGATTTATCTCTCTTAAATTCTCTAGTTTTGATGTGAATGGTCTACCTTTAACTAGTTCGAACAGCTATTGAACCCAAAAAAAAATGGCCACCGTAACTTACTATTAGACTGTTAAATCATAAATTTGAACATTTCTGCCACCTCTCTCGAAGAGATCAAATTAGCGACCAAAAAAAAACGTGGGATGATTATAGTAAGTGATAATAAAACACGAATTAAACATTTTCATCAAAAATTAAATTCAAAATCTAAAAAACATAACACAGAGAAAACGTCCCTCCACTTCTCCCAATTACCAACTATAACCGTCACAAGGTCCACAAACCCGTCACACTCAAACCACGAACAATTCAATAACCCGACACGTAATACATGAACTCTGAATCCAACTCCAAACCCGCCATAGTCTTGGGCGCCAAGACCACCTCCAAATCAACGGTCCCACCACCTTCCCTCCCCAGAAATGCCAAAATCTTACTGTCAAACTTATTTGCCCTCCCACTCTGAACGGCTATGGATCTGCCCAAGCCGAAATCATTGTCGTACATCGGAAATCTCAGCAAACTTCCCATTGTGATCATTGCCCCGTCAAAATTTCCCAACGGGAAACACCATGGGTCCCGCTCCCAATCCTTTACACATCGCCACACCCTAGCGTTTTCGTGGGCCTTCACGTTCTCGTTCAGCTACTCGGCGCACCATAGGAGATCACGTGATAGAACGTCGTTGGCTGAGGCATACGTCGGAATGCTCTGAATTGCGTTTCCGAAATAGTACGAATCGAGCTTTGGTTCAAGCCGGTGACGACAATTCACCGCCATTCTAAACGCTGTCGTTTTGGAAGATGGTAGTTTCCGAGCACGTCTCACCGCTCGCCATAGCAGAGCACACGGTGACTGAAGAGATGAGATCTCTACCGTTGGATTGGCAAACTCCGTTTTGGTGTTCAAAACAACATTTCGTAGCCATTTCAACGACGTTATCTTCCCGTCGATGACCTTCAAAGGATCGTTGATTTGCTTCCCCATCAATTCGACTCTATCAATTGCTCTGCTACAATTACAGATCAATTTTTGATCGTTTGTTTTTTATTTCAGTTTCAGAATCGATTCTCTGCTGAAACTGAAAATTCTCTCTCTCAACAGATCATCGTCGGAGAAAGTGACATCAACGGAGGTAGTTGTTGCTGTTGGTTGGTTTCTCTCTCTTACAAACAACTTGGGATAAGTTGATTCTCTTTTAATTGGCTATTTCTTTTTTTTTCTTTTCTTTTCTTCTTTTAAATGGGCTATTCAAGTCAATTTACGCGTGATTCAACTAATATCTTTCTTTGTTTAAGTTAACATTCGTTCAATTCAACTAATCCTTTCATCGGTCCGATTAAAATAGTATTTATGAGGGATAAATTCCTCATACTCTAACCCTAACGAATTATGAAAATTCGAACTCATAACGTCTATATTCACAACTCATCCATATTGTCGTATGAACTACCCTTAGGGTTAATTGACTTTTTCTTCGTCATCTTAATTTAGCACCTATCACTTAACCAATTAAATAAAAATTATTAAATGGAAAAATACAATTTAATTAAAACTAAATAGTAGGGAATAGTTAGTATGGACAATGGAGGGCATTGATAAGTGGCATGTGATAGAATGTAGATGAAAGAAATCTTTGATTTCCAAGTTATTTATTTAAAAAGCTTTTGGGTTTTTATGGGTGAATCACAACTCAGCACAATAAAATGTAGAATAAAATCCCAAGTTTGAAATGCGACATGCAATACATGCAAGGTGCTAGAGAATGAGAGGCATTTGTTTTTTTTTTTTTTGGGTATAAAAAATAGTTACATAGATTGTTCTTTAATGTCATTATACATATATGTCAGGGAGGATTATTCTTTAATGTCACACAACTATTTATAGGAGACTTCATCGCATCAATGTTGCTACCAAAATTAAAGTCTCATCACGTACTCTGGATGTTCAAGAGTAAGTTTAGCACCCACCAAACTGTCGTAGTTATAAACAAGGGCAGAGCCAGAAAAAACTTTTAGGGTGGGCATGCTAACATATTTGAATTTTTTTTAAATAGACTGTAAATGTTCATAAACTTATATTTGTTAAAATTATATTTAATACTTTTTAAATATAAAAAATTAAAAATCGATATACATAACATGAACAAAAAAATAATAATTAAAACTTCTTATCGAGAATACAACTAATTATTATTACTTATAATTGATTCGGATATATTTTTATTATTTGAAAGAATTCCAAATTAATTATTAACAATATTTTTTTATATATAAAATCACAGTAACAATCTTCCATTTACGATTTTATAGTTTACTATATAACGACAAATATTTTTATACAATAATAAAATAACCCTACAATTTAAAAAATTATAAAATAATATCAATATATTCAAAAGATATTCGGACATGTCTAAAAGTTAACAATTATATTAGTTGTACCTAATTTGAGATTTAATTGAAGGAGTCGCAATTTTTTGTGACTATTAGATAGATATTAGAGTTTATTAAATATTAAGATTCACTATTATACTTAATATCGTAATGTATTATATCTTTAAATTAAGTTTCAATAACATTGTTCAAAAAATTAACAATCATTTAGGTAGGGGGTCTATTCAAATCAATATCACTATAACACAATATTAGGGGTGAACACAATTAAATATGTCTAAATTTTATTTTAAAAAATACATGTTTAATATAAAGCAAAAAAAAAAATTGAGGGGGGGCCAAAAATTTGGTTTTAATGTTGGGCCAAAATTTTTTTTTTTTTAATAAGTTTGGGTAAATAGTGTTGAGCTCAAATTTCTTTGTCTTAAATAGTCTTAATTTTTTAATTCTTTTGCGTAAATAATGTGAGTCTAACATTTTTATCTTGGATTTTAGGTGGGCACAAATAATATGTTATACAAATATATAATACACATATCCAACTAATAAAAAAAAAATTGAGGGTGGGCAAGATTCGAACTCAAGTATTAAGCGACAAAATTTGAGTTCTTTCTCACTAAACCCAAGACATTTATTTTTTTGAGCAATGCTATTTGGACTTAATTTACTATAGTCATTGAATTGATCATATCCCCATCAAATATTAAAATTTTGTGTTTTTCCAATAGTTACAACGAAGTCACATTATTAGATCAACAAATTAAATTAAATTTCTAAGTTCTAATAACATTATTCTTGTCTTTTAGTTATTTTTAGCTAACTATTATTTAAATGAGTTATTGTAGTTAAAAAGTTAAAGTATTCAATCGTAATATAAATCATCAGATCTAAACAATCTAGACTATTATTGTATTTTTCTAAGTGAAGAGCGTAAACAGCTCAAACAACACGCTCTATTCTATTTTATTATCAATTATCGGGATGGAAAGACCAGTCAAAAAAAAAAATTATACCATTCCATGTTTTGCTGCTAATGAGGTTTGAAAGGGAGACCTCATTAAAGAGTTCTGAGTTGTTTCCCTTGTTTTTCTTGTTTTCTATTTTGGCTTGAAAACTCAAAGAAGTTTTTGTTCTCAATTCCCACTTTTTTTGAATTTTTTTTTGGAAATTTCTGTCCAAACAGCATTTTAAGAGTTTTACTATTTTTGATAATAGAAAACTATTTTGGAGAACAAACCACGCAAACCAGTATTCTATTGATCATTGTAACTCTAACTCTGGCTTGATAAATTTCATTGTGTTTGATTTTTTTTTCTCCCTAAATCAATCTTCAAGTGCTGAGTTGGGCAAACGAGATATGGAAGTATTCCATGTGGAACATCAGGGTGTTTCTATCGGATGTTTGGAAGCTAAATTTCACTCATACAGCGACCATTGTGAGTGTCATGACAGGCTCGGTACATGTTATGTCAGTCACGATGACGTTCCATATGGAGACTTTTGTTGGTGACTATTGGATGCTCTCTGTTTCAAGCCTTTTATCAAGCATATTGAGTTTGCTCTCTGTTCCCTCTTCTATACCTTTATTATATTTCATCTCTTCAACAAGTTTACCAATGAGCATAACGGCTTTATTGTTCCGATTGAGAGAAAAACCTATGATTAACTTTTCGGGAAATTTTCGAACGAACAATTTCAACAAAATCTTTCAATTTCTTACTTTATTATGTTCAACTCTATGTATTGCCTGATCAATTTCTGCCCTGCAACATTTCAATTTCAATATTTTCTACCCCACATTTTTGTTTCTCATCACAATTTATATTAGTTTATGAATAGAATCGGGAGCTCTGTTTGTCTCCTTTTTCTTAGCGATTTAGAATCGAGCAAGTAGTCAAATGTAAGAGAATGTCTAGGAATTTCTATTTCCGAATTTAGAATATATTGGTGTTAGTATATTTCTTTTTTATTAGAATATTAATTCAAAATGGACCATTACTCCGACCCAAAATGCGATTAATCTTGCATGGGCTACATGAGCTCCTAGTAGTTTACCAAATAAATTAATAAGTCGGGCATTCCAAACCCACCAAGCGAAACCGGTGGTTTCTTGGTCACGATCAGCTAGAGCAGAACCTCCTCAAGAGTTACTTGGGATCTATAGAATTTTAAAACTAAGGAACAGCATCCGAAGCAATGACCCCAACTGTTTGGAAGATATCTTAAGAAAATGTTTTAACATTGGTGTATATTCTATATGTACTGTCCATTTTTTTTTTTTAAAGTAGTGGCACATATGTGCAAGGGTGGAGCATGTTGGCAATTTCAACATCTTCAATCTTCTTTGGCTTGCCAACGATTTCATGTGCAAGCAGTTCCTTGTGTCTTAGAGATTTGCAGTGACGCCTATTTTACACGTCAATATCTCTAATCACTATTGGAGTTGTTGGCCGATTAACCTCCTTAGACACATTCTTGCTTCAACAAATACCATTGATTAGATCTGCAGAGGATCAACAACAACTGATCAACCAGATGCCTCAAATAATGTTTGGCGGTACCATGACTTGTTTGTTCGTGTTGGTTACAACGTTGTTCTTCCCTTTATACGACCATGGGGGGCTCATTTTGGGATTCTAGCAATTTGCTTGGTGGTTGCTACTCTTCCGTTTTTCTTGAGATCATCTTCTTACATTCATGTCAAACCATCTGGAAGTCGAATCACAAGCTTTCATGCCCACAAGATCCTAGGGAGTTCTACGAGAAGTATGACCTTGTAAACGATCAGGAGCTGCTACCTCACACAAACCGTCTCAAGTGACGACCTTTGTCCTTGTTAAACTACCATCTATTCTAAAAGCTTTAACTGTTAAAAAAAATCTAACATAAATGTTTATATAATATCCTTTTCCTCAATTGCATGACTAATGACAGGTGAGGTTGTGGAAACAATTTGGCTTGCTAGGGTTGGGGAGCGCATTTAACGATATGTCACTTAGCACATTGTGACTTTCACATTCAACATCTTGAATTCTTTCTCATAACACGTCCTTAATCTAGCAGGTTTCTAGACAAAGCAGCCATCCTAACCCGATCACAAACTATTGAGGAACAAGAGAACAAGAAATGGAGGCTTTACAGGATCACTGAAATGGAAGAAACTAAAATATTCTTCACAATGATTCCAATGTTTATGCCTTTTATCATCTGTGGAATTGTTTCCTCAATGGGAACCTCTTTTTTCCTAGAGCAAGCCATGAGTGTAACTCATAGATTCAAGTTCTTAACATTCTCATTCCTTATATTCTTCTATGCATTCTCCATGTATATATCCGCAAGCATTCATGCTTTAATTGCAATCATCGGAAGCATTTTTGGAATGGTGAAGCAAAAACACATACCTCCAATACGAATTGGATTTGAAATCATGATATCCATTTTCTGCTACATTGTCGCCGCGCTGGTGGAGCAAAGGAGGTTAATTATGGCCAAGAGACATGACCTAATCGACGTCCCTCATAGCACAATTCCAATGAGTATTTTCTGCTGATTCCTCAATTTCTCCTCTTAGGTGCTGCACAAGGGATTGTCCTCAGTAACATAACTCATTTTTTGGTCGATCAAGTACCTAATTCAATGCAGTCATATTTGAGCAAACTCACTGAAGCTTTCTTGGGAATTGGATTCATTGCTAGTGTTCTAACTGTTAATGTTGTGGGAAAGATTAGCGACAAGAGAGGGTGTGAAAGTTGGTTCAGGGAAACACTAAACAAAAGTCGACTAGATAAGTACTATTACACACTAGCAGCAATGAGTTGTGCAAATCTTTTTTCTATGCACTTGTTACTTCTTGGTTTAATTACAAGGAGATAAACATTCCAACAAAAGAACAAGAAGTGGTAGATGAAGAAAGGTTTCAATACCATGAAGAGTAATACCATCAAGTGGTGATCAGAGCAAGTCCAAGCGAGTAACTGGCTATAAGTTTAATCTGTGGCCAGCCATGAAGTTTCAAGCATGAGTCTGTCCCATCTTCTTTGTTTGTTTTTGTTATTTGTAGGTAAATAATGTAATAGTAGCAAGGGATGAAGAACTTTGCTTTTCCTTTTGAAAGATTTCTTTCTACCGTATAACTGTTCTAAACCTCATTTAAGCTACAGAATGAGTGAAAAAAACGTTCTCAACCTAGAACCTACGTGAACAAATAGTGGTTGACTCTCGCAAGAAATCAAACTACCTACAAGTGTTACACAACCATTGAACCCTTTAAGATAGAAAAACCTCTAACACTTTACAATACGAATTTGAGTGTAATTCACCCTCATCACACCCACCCATACAAAAGATAATTTACTTTTCATAAAATTCGCATATAAAACAATTTATAACGCAACAATTCCAAAAAAAAAAAATGAGTACTCAAATCAAAACATGCAAGAGATGGCAATTAAAAATAAACAGAGAACTAAAGAAATGGAAGAGAATGCAAAATGTGCAACAAGCCGAAATGTGCAAAAATTTGGTCGACTTATACTTCACAAAAAGGAAATCTGGTGGGCCCAAGAGGGCTCACCCCTTATGGTTCAAATATAACCACCAAATTCTCCGTGGTTTTGGACCAATATAAAAAATTAACACCATTCATAGCCTTTTTGCGTCACGTCCCAAATTTTCTAGGGCTAATTTAATAATTTGAGTGATAATTCATAAGTTTTTACAGCTTGAGTGAGTCAATCATGATTTCATTTAATGAATTTTCTTTTAGAAAATTGCCATCCCAGAGCTATTAAAACAAACCCAAGCATTATTACATACAAATGTTATCCTTAAGCTTCAATATTACATAATAATCTGTAGGTTTCCAAAGCAAAGCACATAAGAAATACATATCCAAAGACCTTCAACATAAGTTCGAAATACATAAACTTCCAAAACAAGATACATGTTAAAAGAAGTTAAGCATTCAAGACAATTTCAGGAAAGAAGTCATGTTATCTCCAAGCCTATTACCTACAAAATGAGGTAACAAATATAGTTACATGTATTACACTAGTACATACGTTGCACACGACATATAAATGCCAAAATCACTTGCATTGCATCCACCATAAATATTATTTCACACGTCCTTACTTTCCAACTCTGGATTATCCCTCTCAAGTCCAACAATTTGGGGGGAAGCTAGGACCAATTAAAAGGCTTGCACCTCGGTGCGTCCCACCACTCGTTTCTAAATGCTTTCAATTAAGGATACGAGTAACTCACACGCCTCTCGGATGATAAAATGTTTGGTCAAGACTCGGTTTGAAGCCTTTTACCTAGGGGAGCACAATCACTCCTTGCTTATCCCCATTATGTCCATTGTCGTCGTGAAGTCTAATTTGTTTAATTTCATCGCTTATTTGGAGGATGAAAACATAATAAGCATAAAATAGAATCGAATCATTGAATTCGATAATAATGCCAAGATAAGACTTTATCATTACATGTAAAGCACATAATTGTGGTAGGTATGATTCAATCACGTTGTATTACTGTCGATAATCCCACCGTGAGAATGTGCGAAAAAAAAAATGAGAATGTATGCATGCAATTAGAATCTAAGTAAAGTCTTTGTTAGGCCTTTATGATCATTATTACACATTCTAGTGATAATTATAAGTTAAATTCCACCAAGTATAGAGTTTGGTCACCTTTTAACACAAGTAGGTGCTTTGTCACATATTAGCTAAAAGATAATAGGGACTTCGACGATTTTTTTAAAAATCACACAATCTGAAAAATTAGTTATAAATGTACAGAACAATTAGCACGACAATCTAACAGGAAATACTAGCTAGCCACAACATTCCTCCATATGTGAGTTGTACTTTGTACGTCCAAACTGATAGGAAAAAAGGTGGATTTTCTCTCTCTCTCTCTCTCTCAAAAGTTGAAGACTCCACCTTTTTCTTCATTTAAGTTATATAGATATACTTGTGCAAGGCCTTACATGCAAGGTACACAAGTCAAGTTCTTCTCCCTTAGCCCTTGTATCACTCTCTTGGTTGTCTACAAAAGCAAGTGTAAATGTCTCTATGTGTTCAACTGCGAATGATCCCTCCTTGTCAACTATATCTTGCACTTCCTCCTGTAATGGTGCGTAGCATGGTACATTGAAGGAGTCCAACTTCTCTTTATCAACCAAGCCCTATGAACGAACAAGTGGTAAGAAAAAAAATATAAACCATCCATCACCAAGTTTTGTATAATTTCCTTCAAAAGATTGATTAACAACCTAAGAAACTAGGTAATTTCATACCTCGAGGGACAAAGCTGAAGCATTTTCCTATTGNCCGTCGTGAAGTCTAATTTGTTTAATTTCATCGCTTATTTGGAGGATGAAAACATAATAAGCATAAAATAGAATCGAATCATTGAATTCGATAATAATGCCAAGATAAGACTTTATCATTACATGTAAAGCACATAATTGTGGTAGGTATGATTCAATCACGTTGTATTACTGTCGATAATCCCACCGTGAGAATGTGCGAAAAAAAAAATGAGAATGTATGCATGCAATTAGAATCTAAGTAAAGTCTTTGTTAGGCCTTTATGATCATTATTACACATTCTAGTGATAATTATAAGTTAAATTCCACCAAGTATAGAGTTTGGTCACCTTTTAACACAAGTAGGTGCTTTGTCACATATTAGCTAAAAGATAATAGGGACTTCGACGATTTTTTTAAAAATCACACAATCTGAAAAATTAGTTATAAATGTACAGAACAATTAGCACGACAATCTAACAGGAAATACTAGCTAGCCACAACATTCCTCCATATGTGAGTTGTACTTTGTACGTCCAAACTGATAGGAAAAAAGGTGGATTTTCTCTCTCTCTCTCTCTCTCAAAAGTTGAAGACTCCACCTTTTTCTTCATTTAAGTTATATAGATATACTTGTGCAAGGCCTTACATGCAAGGTACACAAGTCAAGTTCTTCTCCCTTAGCCCTTGTATCACTCTCTTGGTTGTCTACAAAAGCAAGTGTAAATGTCTCTATGTGTTCAACTGCGAATGATCCCTCCTTGTCAACTATATCTTGCACTTCCTCCTGTAATGGTGCGTAGCATGGTACATTGAAGGAGTCCAACTTCTCTTTATCAACCAAGCCCTATGAACGAACAAGTGGTAAGAAAAAAAATATAAACCATCCATCACCAAGTTTTGTATAATTTCCTTCAAAAGATTGATTAACAACCTAAGAAACTAGGTAATTTCATACCTCGAGGGACAAAGCTGAAGCATTTTCCTATTGAAAAATGTCACAATAAAACCTAGGCAACATTAGTGAGACCCCTCACATCCTAATGGAATTTGTTTGCACACTAAAATGATTGTTCCTCCTAAACACTAATGTGCTCTTTTTTCTTTGTTGGTGGATGTCCTTTGAGGGAATAGAGTCCGCCCCCCCCCCCCCCCCCCCAAAAAAAAAAAAACCCCAAACTCGGAAATCCTTTTATTTGTTTGTTAAGTCTTGTTCTAAGGAGAATTTCATCCGAATTCGAACATAAAAAAAACTTAATTATTTTATACTAAGCGATGTGCAGTACCGAGTGTTGTTAACCAAAGCATGCTTCATGTAGTCTTTTTTTTTTTTTTTTGGGATGGGGGGAAGGATAATGAACATCATCATACGTTTATAGTTTCTAAAAACAATTTTATTTTTCAAAAAAACTTTACCTGTGAAACCATCTCAGATATGGCCTCGACTAATATTTCTCAATGGTAGCAGTTCTCCTTACCCCAAGGATCCGAGGCTTGTCAACCATTAAGTATCAGGACCATACAACCATTTTGAACCATCTCTTCGGCTCGAGACTTCAAAAACAAGGTGAAATCTTCTTTAAATTGAGCTAGATAGGTTGCAGCTACAACAGGAGGGCTTGTCTTTGATATATAGATCTTCCCCTTGTTCAATGGCAAGCCTTCCTTGTTTGTAAGCATAGTTTTAAAACCCAGGTCAGACATCAATCCGGCGAAGGGACCGCGTCAATGGATTACTGGTTGAACCAGTGATATAATAAAAAAAATATTATTAATGATGATAGGTAGGTTAAAAAATTATAATAATTGTAAAAATAACATATTTAATATATATTAAATCAAATAAAAATTCAAAAAATATCAAACAAATATATTCAATTCCAATACAATTTGCCTAATTTGCTGTTAATCAAATCAAATATGCTCTTAATTGCATTGTTCTTGAAATCAACTTCATAAGAATTCCTACAAATCATATTCGATCTAACTAGCACAGAGAAGGAGAGAGTACCTACTATGTCTCAAGATTCTCAAGTCTCAAGAAAAAGGCATAGAGAAGGAGGGGGTTAAGCATATCGCCAATAAAGATTTGAGTTAGTCTTGTCCTGCCTTCGTAAGCTGGTAATTTGTTCAACTGTTCGAGTTCAACACTTGATTGAGTGATCCCAGGGCCAATATATATATCGAATTTCAAACCATAATGACCAGATCAAACGACTGTCCACTGTCATAGAAGAAGACCAAGGAGAAAATTTGGAGCAAGATAAGCAAAGGGTCTTTGGTCCTCAATTGGACCATGTGAAGACCATGTGACCAAAACTCTTCCTCACCAGCAACGCAAAACCAATAAACCATTGAAAGAAGACCTCAAAAATTCAGAACAGAAAAGACCAATCAGAATATCCAACAACAGGCAGCCATTGAAGCCTAGATCTAAACCAGATGAACCCCAATAGCAGAATCTGCTTAATAAAATATCCCTAAGCACAGCACAAGCATCCATAAGCAAATGGTTCATTGTAAAGAGAGAGAGAGAGGACTGAATCAGGGTGAGAGGCTGAGAGTCATCAAACCTCAGACTCCAACGATGAGGTAGAGGAGAATAAGAGGTAGAGTGGCTAACAATAAAGATCAAATTAGGGCAAAAAAACCAAAAGCCTGATTATATAGTATTTTACTTGATCCGGCAGGTTTGACAAAAATCGCTTGGTTCAACAGGTTGGGGGAAGAACCGTCCAGTTTAATGAGTTTTATCCGATTTCTTTACATAAACGATCTAATATGAGAACCGGCCTGGTTTAGGCTCCCGTTCACCAGGTCAACCCGCCGAGCCGAATCGGGTTTTAAAACATTGCTTGTAAGTCCTTTGGGTACCTTCTATTCATCGAGTTACGTTGAAATAATTAATCAGTACTTATGTGACATGTCAAAAACAAACATGTCATGTTTTAATTCAGACATCCGTTGGTAACAATTTTATTTAAGAACATAAAAACAATGAAAATTACTTTTGTATTTTCTCGTTGTCAAGATATGTTACTTTTGTGAAAATTAAATCTCAAGTAACAAGCATTTCAAGAAGAGTAATACTATTGAAACCTAAAAAAATTAATGTCATTGACTTAATCATCAAATGGAAGTGTAAAGATCAAAGTGATGACGCTAGATGCATTTTTGGTAGACAATGTACTTTAATTCATGTATTATTACAACAATTTAGTAAATCAGAATTCTCTTTTTTTTTAAGCATTAAATGCTTTACCCATACGATTACAGTGGAAAAAGAGAATTGGGAATTAAATAGGGTTAAAAAGAGGGTTTAGTTATTTATTTAGAAAAAAAATGAACAACAATATTGATATTTCATGAACAAAATTATTGAATGGAGTAAAAACCTGAGTTATGTATAGTTATTTAGAAAGTAATAATAGGGTATTATGGGTATTTCAAGAGTCTCCCATGACTTGATATGAGTTTGGGTATAAGTTTAGAAAAGTTTTTTAAATTTTTTTCTTTTACCTAAATTCAAATTTGGAAAATGGTAAGGATTGAAATTACTCTCAGACTTTGATTGAAATGCTTTAGGTCATAATGCCAAAAATAAATGATTTTAAGGTTAAGGTATTAGCAATTAAAATAAATATCCTAGGATAACAAACCCCATGGAACATTTCTAGGTGGGCCGAACACTTACGAACAAACAATGTTTAGGACCAAACTCAACTTTGTCGCCCAATGTAATTGTGGACAAGTTCAATAATGGATTTGCACTATTTTGATATTTGGATACTTCAAAGCACGCGTAGTCTACTCCGAAGCTTCACTTTCTTTTTTGGCCTAATAATCATCGGTCCTATGCTGTCTCAGTTTTGTAGCCTCACTTGCTTTGCCTCCACTCCGTTCTGTACGAGCTTCGTTGCTGATTGAAAGAAAGAATTTTTCATCGTATTCAATGAGGCGAGAGAGGTGACGAAAGTGGTAGAATATTCTGAAGGGTATTTTTTTCATATAAAATTTCAAAAACAATAACTTTGGACTACGCACTTGATATTTTAAACGATAATATTGAATGTAACACAGTATTACCGACCGTCAAGTGGGTGAGATAAATCTTACTTAGATAGTTATTTACTTACATGAAGAAGAGTGTGTAATTATTTACTTATATCACTGGTGATGTGACACAATTTTTACCATTAAATAAGTATGTTTCATTAATATTCAATAATGGATATTGTATCATATTATTTGAAATGAAAAACTTGGTAAGAAACTTAGTAAACATAAAATTACTATAATTTTAGTGGGACCCATTTATTTATTTAATTTAATATTATTAATTATTAATATCATATCAACATTATTACATAATATCATCGTTCTAATGAATATTTTCTCGTCTTTAAAAAGACAAAAAACTTCGAAATGTTTAATATTTTGGGCTTTAATATCCAATTCCTCAAGCATTTTTGTAAGCCCTATATTTTGGACCAAGAGGCGTACAGGCCCATACACAATCTCTCTTCCCCTTCTTTCCTCGTTTTCAGATTCGCCTAAACCCTAGAAACTCCCACTCTCTCTCTCTCTCTCTCTCTTCGTGTGTGTCTCTCAGATCTGAAGAAAATGGCATCAAGCGATCAAACGGTGTTGCAATTTACCCCATCGTCGACGAGCTTTTCAGCGAAGGTTCATCCTCTGGTGATTTTCAACATCTGCGACTGCTATGTGAGACGACCAGACCAAGCGGAGAGAGTAATCGGTACTCTGCTCGGCTCGGTATTGCCCGACGGCACCGTCGACATACGAAACTCCTATGCCGTCCCACACAACGAGTCATCTGATCAGGTTTGCTTCTCTACTTCGCGTCTAGTTTCTGTTTAGCCTCCGTTTGAATTGGAGAAACTACACATAGGAAGATAGGAGAAAACAATAGATTTTAAGTCTTAATTTTTTTTTCCCACAGTGAAAATAGTGATAACTTATTAAATTGTGTTGGATTAATACTGAAATAATTGTATTGCTCTCTTTTTGGCATATATAGTAATTGCTGAAAAACTGATCCTTCCTGTTTTTTGCATATATTATACAAAAAAATGCGACTATAAATGTCATACATACTTACAATTCTGCATATATAAAGGAACGATATATACGATATATTTCCAATTGTATTATTTGTCTGTGGATGGGCCTGCTGAACATCAATTGGGATATTATTTTTCTGGAACATCGATTAATTTCTGTTTTTGAAATAAGATTTTGTCGTTGTGCTGAATAGCAAGACAGTTGTGTGTTGTTATTTAAGAAAATTATGACTTTATCTATTTTTTTTTAATGGTTTTAGGTTGCATTGGATATTGATTACCATCAGAATATGTTGTCATCCCACCAGAAGGTGAATCCGAAGGAAGTGATTGTTGGATGGTAATTTCTTATTTTCATAAAATTTTCTTGATTGTGGTTATCACCATTTTATGACTTGTGTATAATTCTAGTCTTCGTTTTATGGCAACATGAAGTGACCAGGTTCACATTGCTTTGTTTTTTCTGCTAGATATTGAAAACTGATGTTCTTGTAACTCTTCCCCTGCTTTTAGGAAAACTAAAATTCTTGTCGCATTGTGAGTAAACATTAGTCATGTAAAATCAATGTTTGCTTGCATGCTTGTGCTCATGCTTTTAGCGTGCAGTAGTGTGTGTGTGTGTAAGAGAGAGAGAGAGAGAGAGAGAGAGAGAGTTTGGTAAATGTTTGACAATGTAGCAAATTTCAAGTTTTGAAGTTATGTTGCCTTTTGTGTTTTATATGTCAATAAGTGATTTTGGATTCGGAGGACTAATGAAAAAATTTGTATGGCTTATTGGGGTCAAAGATTTTATCATTTTTGTTCTCCTTGGACTTTTCTCTTGGAGGATTGAATTTTTTGCTGGAACTTCCGTGAATAATTGATGGAAATCGGACTGTGTACTTTAAAATCTCATTGTGAAGACTTTTTTTTAATGCAAATTTCTAGGTCAAGATGAGGTGTGAACAAGACAAATCCCATGGCCTTCCATGGGATTTTGTAGTATTTACTGACTGAATTGTAACACGCATGGATTTAATACTCTTCTTGGTTGGTAGTTGATATCATTGCATTCATTGCCTCATTGAAGCTCCCACCCCCTTCTCCCTCCCCACCTCTTAAAAAGTAGAAGAAGAAGAAAACCTTATTTTTCTCATCAAAAAAATTTGGAGGCATTATTTCATTTATATATTATATGATACTTTTCATGTGTTCTTAATTAGCTGCCAATTTCTGTTTGATGTGTAAATTATCAATTTTTGATTCATCTGATTGGAAAACCAGTTGTTAATTGACTGTATGTTTCACTTTTCTTAATCGTCAACAAATTGATTTGTAAGATTGAAGAGTTCATTTCAATTTTTTCCTGCTATGTCATTTCGCACTGTACAGGTTTTCAACTGGCTTTGGAGTCTCAGGCGGTAGCGCTTTGATCCATGACTTTTACTCCAGAGAAGTTCGTAACCCTGTTCATCTAACTATCGACACAGAATTCAAAAGCGAAGAGGCTTCAGTAAAGGGGTTTGTCTCTGTTAGCCTGTCTCTTGAAGATCAACAACTAGCTGCACAATTCCAGGAAATTCCTTTGGACCTACGCATGGTTGAAGCTGAGCGGGTTGGATGTATGTGCTCAAACCCCCTTATCATTCTGCAATTCTTTGCTGGCCTAGGCCACCCTCCTCATCCTCTGACCCACGTAGATACACACACACACACAAACACATTTCTTTTGGAGTTTTTTTTTTTTTTTGGGGGGGGGGGGGGTGATGAGGGTAGAATCTATATATGGATTGTGGGCATTCGGGAAAAGGTCATGATTTTTTAGTTGGTTAATCCTATAGGTCAACTTCTTACTTACAACCCGTTCGGAAACAAGGTGGAGTTTTAGTTTGCATGGATTGTTATCTTGGTATTTCTCATCTTTACCTACAGTAAGGCATTGCATGTTAGCTTAAGGGGGGTTGGTATTTTCAATTTTATTTTTAATATAAAATGGAAATTTGATTAAGGATACTAAACTAAAGTACAAAAGAATGCATGTAACATTGTTCAATGGTGCTGGTGTTCAAAATCTAAACAAGCGGATTTATGTAGTGTGGGAAGAATTTTAGCAGTAATTTGCATCATATAGGTCTTGTTTTCCTTGTTATATCGCTTGAGATCTTTTCTAAAGTCGTAGCATCTTGATTGCAATCTTTTATTTTGTAAGTTATTTCGTCCCCAAAATTTTTTAAGACAATCAACCATCTTGAATTATGATTTCATTGTGCACATAACTTGTATTGGCATTTCCAGAATGTGGTTCTGATGGATAAGTGTAATGGTCTCTTTCTTGATCCCACGTGTTCTTAGTAAAGTCGGAATTATTTTTCATTAATCATGAACGGAATGGTTTTGTTAACGTTCTTTGGTATGGTGGTACTCTGCAATACTATGGATTAATGTCTTTTTTCTACCCAATTAATTGTTTTGATATTTTTCTTAATTGACGTTTAGTTGGCTGGCTGAGCATTTTGTAGTTTAATTGGTTGCAAAAACTATTGTGTTGAATCAAGGATAACAATTTTGCCTTGTTTCCTTTGGAATGCCCAAACCATTTTAGTCTCCATGGTAACAAAACATCAGTGATTGATATTGAAATTTCTATATTTCTTCAGCCAATGTTTTGAAAACATTTTTTTAATTTTACTATGTTTCTATTTTGTTTCCTAACCATTCCCGTTTCTAAGCTAGTTGAAATTATGAACCAAAATGAAATTTTGATTCTTATTCTCGGTAACGTATTTACTACTTTTCATCTTAGTTTTATCAGATTTAGAGTCACGAAAAGTTTTAAGTGTATATATTTTTCCATGACTGTAGTTGACATCCTCAAGACAACAACGGTTGACAAACTCCCTAATGATTTGGAAGGAATGGAAGCCTCAATGGAACGGTTACTAGCTTTAATTGATGACGTCTACAATTATGTTGACGATGTTGTGGTGAGAAACTTGGGCTGATACTCATTAAATCATTTTTCTTTTGCTTTTACCTTTCTTGTGACTTTATTTCCATCGTCTTCCTCAGGAAGGACATGTTGCACCAGATAATAATATTGGGAGATGTATAGCAAATTCTGTAGCCTCCATTCCCAAATTATCACCACAAGCTTTTGATAAGCTCGTGAATGATAGCCAACAGGTAGCTTAACTTCATTTTACCTAGACAAAGGTTGAAATTGCCATCTTTTATAGAGTTATGTTTGGAAAAATGTGTTTAGGGGTTACTCTGATATTCTATAAATGATTTTGGTCCTGTAAGCTTGAAGGGATGGGGAACCCTCCATCCTCACCCTCTTTTTTTTTTTTTTTCTGAGGGTTCACTAAACATGTTATCTGTCCCAAAATGCTTTTGGTCCCATAATTTTGACTCTGTTGTGCCATTTCACACGTGATCTTAAGTTATTACTTGATCCGTTTTTTATTCAATGATCAAAATCCTTTGATTGAGTTTTGTTTTCGCAACTTAGGACTCAGTTATTATGCTTTCCATTTGGCAGCTTATATGCAATTCTGCTGTTTATGGTTGGTCAAGAACCCTGGATTTTGTTTCAATGGCGCCTCTATTTGACCATAAATTTGCTTTGGTTTTTAACCGTGTAGGACCAACTACTCTTGCTCTATTTGTCAAGCATCACCCGAACACAGCTCAGCTTGGCGGAAAAGTTGAACACCGCTGCTCAGATTCTGTAGGTGATATCTACCATCTCTTTTCAAGAGGAAAATGTATGGCCCAGGTGGTTTTTTTTTTAAAATGTGGTCAATTTAGTAAGTTATGCCCTTATATGAGAATTGTGCTAATTTTTTTGGTCCTAGAGAAATTGTTGTAGTGTATTTGAGATTTTTTGGCATTAGTTGGTTGTCGTTCACCATCCAAATTGTTTTGTGTTGGGTTAAATGCTATGAAGAAACCACATAAAATCTCTCAGAATTTGATGGTTCGAGAGGGCCTTTGTTTAATTTTTCTTTGGAATTATGGGAATGTCAGTTCGCTCAGAGTAAAAAGATTAGGTTTAAGTTCTCTTGTGTAACACACTCTAAGATTAAGAAGGCAAATTATGAAAAAATCGAAAAGAATGGAGCATTGTTTCGCTCTTTTTTAATGTGCTACCCTGCTGCGTCCCCTTCGGTTGCTTTGTAGTTCTCTAGGGAACAGGAAGCAAAATCCAGGAATGCTATAGGCAGTTACACGAGGAGTATGGAGTGCATGGTTATCAGAATTTTGATCCGGATTTTAAGATCTTGTATGATGGGTTATAAGTAATCGATCTGAGTCTACATGGGAATGTAGGATTCCGATCTGAATTGTGATCTTACTAATTCAAGTTGTTAGGTTTGCTTCTTATATGCATTTAGTTGTTGAGCAACCTAGTTCATGTTTTTCGTTTGCAAAAGTCTTTTTATTCATTCGTCTCTCTTTGAAAAGTTTAAAGTAATGATTAGATTTAATTTTCTCTCTCGACGAGTGATCATAGTCAAATAGTCTAATATTTTTATTTTGTTTTGCTGTTTTTTTTTTTGGATGTCGTATAGTCAATATTATTATTCAACAACTTTTGAGTCTCTCTCTATTTGAAACTTAAGATCAAAATACTTCAATCCTCATATTCCTCTTTGCAAAATTCTACATGATTAACAACAATTCACCTTTGATTTTAAACCTTCTTTAGTATTCAAGTTGTAGTTTATCAAATTTCAAGCATATTTTAAGTTCTGTTTGACCACTCCAAAAAAAAAAATAATATGTTTGTCATAGCATTTTGATTAGTATATGTACTAGGTTTATCTAGTCTTATTTTTGAGAATTTTATATTGCTACAAATATTTTTTATCTCATTTTTTTAATTAATAGGATTTTATGATTCTTTATTCAATTTTATGACTTCCTCGATCGATCTAATATAATATTTCGATTTTAAAAATGATGATGAAATGTAATCGTGACTAATGGGTGTGATTAGTTACAGGATACAAATAGAGAGACAAAGTGAATTCGTTTTGAAATCATAAAATCTATAAGCATACTCTTTGTTTGGATGGCAACCGATTATGACAATGAATTCATGATACTCAGTGTATTGATAGTCCCACTTTTGCAGGCGGGGATGGTTTGCCTTAGAAAAGACTAGGCAAAACTCTTTGCATAATCCTTTTTCCTTCTTTTTATAATGACAACTTGAAATACAAAAGGTAACCTAGATACAATGTTCCATTTTGTGCATGTGGGTCTATAGTTTAAGGTTTTTTTAAAAAATATAAAAAATAAAAATCAGCAATTGATTTAAGTTATTTCTAGAAAGAAGTAAAAAAAAATGTTAGATATATACAATTCAGTGCATAAATATTTATACTTTTGTGAGTTTTGAATTAAATTAGATATATGCAGTTTTGTATACAAATAGATTATTTGTACAACTCGAACTCTTAACTTTTATGTCCAAATGGAATAAAATTATCGTTATGCTTGGAATCTCTCTCAATGAACAATTTTATGATGAGTTAGACAAAATTCCATTTTTCTCCATAAATTGTGCAACTTCACAGGTGGGATAATTGAGGATTAGCAGTTGGCTTAATGGCCACTGCAATTTATTCGAGTCAGATCATGAAAGATTTATCTCTCTTAAATTTTCTAGTTTTGACGTGAATGATTTACCTTTAACTAGATCAGAAATGGGGTTAATCGAAGTGTCTGTAAACTAATCTAGACAGCTATTGAACCTAAAAAAAAAAAATAGACACCGTAACCTACTATTAGATTGTTAAGTGGTGGATTTGAACTTTATTGCCACCTCTCTCGAAAAGATCAAATTAGCAGGAAAAAAAAAACGTGGGATGATTATAGTAAGTGATAATAAAACACAAATTAAACATTTCCTTAACGAATTAAATTCAAAATCTAAAAAACATAACATAGACAAAACGTCTCTCCACTTCCCCCAGTCACCAACCGTAATTGTCACAGGGTCTGCAAACCCGTCACACTCGATCCAGGAACAATTCAATAACCCAACACGTAATACATGAACTCTGAATCCGACTCCAAACCCGCCATAGTCTCGGGCGCCAAGACCACCTCCAAATCAACAGTCCCACCACCTTCCTTCCCTGGAAACGCTGAAATCTTACCGTCAAACTTATTAGCCCTCCCGCTCCGAACGGATACGGGTCTGCCCCACCCGAAATCATTGTCGTACATTGGAAATCTCGACGAACTTCCCATCGTGATCATCGCCCCGTCAAAGTTTCCCAAAGGGAAACACCGTGGGTCCTGCTCCCAATCGTCTATGCATCGCCTCACTATAGCATTATCGTGGGCCTTCACGTTCATGTTCAACTGCTCAGCGGTGCATCGAAGATCACGCGACAGAACGTCACCGGCGGAGGCATACGTCGGAATGCTTTGAATTGCGTTTCCGAAATAGTATGGATCAAGCTTTGGTTTGAGCCGGTGACGGCAATTCACCGCCATTCTGAACGTCGTCATTTTGGACGATGGTAGTTTCCGAGCACGCGTCACTGCTCGCCATAGCAGAGCACACAGTGACTGAAAAGATGAGATCTCTACCGTTGGATTGGCATACTCATTTTCGGTGTTCAAAACGGTGTTTCGTAGCCATTTCAACGGCGTTATCTTCCCGTCAACGACCTTCAAAGGATCGTTGCTTTGCTTCCCCATCAATTCGACTCTATCAATTGCTCTGTTACGACTACAGATCAATTTTTGATCGTTTGTTTTTGATTTCAGTTTCAGAATCGATTCTTTGCTGAAACTGAAAATTCTCTCTCTCAACGGAGCATCGACGATGAAAGTGACCTTGGGTCCACCTTCAGGGACTCTGAGAACCGCCGACGAGATCAACATCGATTCACGGCGGAAGTCTGGTACCCTCAAAATCTTCCTCGCACCAGTTCCACAAACCTCCGCGAAAGTATTGAAAAAATTCCAAAATGACGTGCCATCAGTAACGGCGTGATTGAGTGCACAGCCAATGAAAACGCCGTCGGCGAGCTCAGTCACTTGCACAGCCAATATAGGCTTGAAATGACCGTCGTAACTCACTGTTCTATCAAAAGCGAAGAACTCTTTGACACAGTTAGGGATATCAGTTGGGGACAAAATGTCGTGAACATGAATGTGAATTGCACTGGCGTGAATGAAGTCAACTCCGGCGTCGTTACATGTGATATAAACATAACCGGAAGAATCAGTTTTGAGACGTCCAGCGAGTGGTGGGAAGAGAGATAGAGTCTGGGAGAGACCACATTGGAGGAGAGAGATGAGAGAGTCAATTGGAACATGAGGGCGAGTGAAGAGACCACCCTTTTGAATGTAGTGACAGGAGAGCATCGAAAGATCGGAGACGGAGAGTTTGAGGTCAGAGAGTATCGATTTTTGGTCTGGGAAGATGGTGCATTTGGAGATGAGAGTTAGAGATTGCGAAGAAGCCATGGTTGAAGAAGGAATAGGCATGTTTGAGCTTTGTAGTGTCTGAGTCTTTAAGGCTCTCTTGCCTCACTTCGAATTGGGTGGAATTCTTGTGAAGTGAGGAGTGAGAGAAAGTGTGAAGGTGGGAGAGGTTTATATAGGAAGGGGTTGGAGTGGTTTGGAGGGTTGGGTTCATGCACTTGCTGAGGTAGTTGTTGTTGTTTGTTGGTTTCTCTCTCTTACAAACAACTTGGAATAAGTTGATTCTCTTTTAGTTGACTTTTTCTTATCTTTTCTTTTCTTTCTTTTTTTTTAATGGGCTATTCGAGTCGATTTACATCTGATTCAGTTAATCTCTTTTTTGGTCTAAATCAACATATGTTCAGTTCGATTAATCATTTCATCAATCTAATTAAAAAAATATTTATGAGAGATAAATTATTCGTAGTCTAACCCTAATAAATTATAAAAATTCAAATTCATGACGTCTATGTTCACAACTCATCCATGTTATCATATGAACTACCCTTGGGATTAATCGGTTTTTTCTTCGTCATCTTAATTTAGCACCTACCACTTAACCAATTACATAAAAATTATTAAATGAAAAAATATAACTTAATTAAAACTAAATAGGAGGGAATAGTTAGTATGAACGATGGAGGCCATTGATAAGTGGCATGCGATAGAATGTAGTTGAAAGAAATCTTTGATTTCCAAGTTATTTAAAATAGCTTTTGGGTTTTTATGGGTGAATCACAACCCAGTACAATAAAACGTGGAATAAAATTCCAAGTCTGAAATGCGACGTGCAATACATGCAACTAGAGAACGGGAGACATTTGTTTTTTTTTTTTGGTATAAAAAATAGTTACATAGATTGTTCTTTAATGTTACTATACATATATGTCAGGGAAGATTGTTCTTCAATGTCACAAGTAATACATGCAACTAGAGAACGAGAGACATTTGTTTTTTTTTTTTTGGTATAAAAAATAGTTACATAGATTGTTCTTTAATGTCACTATACATATATGTCAGGGAAGATTGTTCTTCAATATCACACAACTATCTGTAAGAGATCTCACCGTACCAACGTTGCTACCAAAATTAAAGTCCCATCACGTACTCCGGATGTTCAAGAGTAAGTTGAGCCCCTACCGAACTCAAGTATTAAGTGACGAAATTTGAGTTCTTTCTCATTGAACCCAAGACATTTATTTTTTGAGTAATGCTATTAGGACCTAATTTACTATAGTCATTGAATTGATCATAAACCCATCAAACATTAAAATTTAGTGTTATTCCAACAGTTACAACGAAATCACATTTTTAGGTCAACAAATTAAATTAAAATTTTAAGTTCTAATAACATTATTCTTGTCTTTTAGTTATTTTTGGCTTACTATAATTTAAATGAGTTATTGTAGTTAAAAAATTAAAGTATTAAATCGTAATATAAACCGTCGGATCTAAATGATGGAGACTGTTATTGTTTAAGCAGCTGAAATAACACGCTCTATTTTATTATTTATAAATGTGAGGGATAACATGAAACCTATCCCAAAAAAATGACCACCACTGCAAAACAAGAAAAAAGCGGAGTTAAGATTTATATAATTTAGGCACCAAATGAATAGATTTGTTGAATTTGTCACATGAATTCATTAAAGCAAATCATTAAATATATTTTATATATGATACAAACTTAACACGATTACTTTTTTTTTATATTACTTGTGAGATTGATCTTTCGAAAATGGCCTAATTACAAGGACATCTCTTTTAATTTTTGAAATATCACTGTCACCATCTATTAGATTTTGTTTTTAACAGAATGAATGAAAATTATTGTTTTTAACAAAATACGCTTAATACAAAGTTATTTTCACTCGTTTATACCCCCTTATTATGCATATGATCAACAGATATGATTCTATACACATATATACTCTTGATCAATTTTTAATTCAATTTCATTAATTTAAATTTTAAATTTCATCAAAGTAACACAAAAAAATTTTCTTCGATTTCATCAAATTCATATTCAATTTCAACAATTCAATACTAAATTAACATTTAATTTAAATTGTTATTTAATTTTCACAAATTAACAGTCAATAGATAAAATATGAGTTGTGATGGGTGGTGTTGGTAGAGGCTAACATCCAATTAACATGGTCGAGTAAAAAAATAATATTTTATAATTTTATATTTAAATATCAAAGCTGTCATTTAAGTAGGTATTTTCTTTATTTTTTGGATATATTAATAAGTCTCTGACGATAAGGATAGTACGTGAAAATGAACAAACAAATTATAGGGAATAACAATGATATTTCAGAAATTATAGAAAATACCCCCTATAACTAGGTTATTTTGTAGGGAGTATTAGTGCAAATTTTTCCCCAAATTTGCAACCAATTGAATTAATGTTTATAGACATGTCGTTTTGCTGTGACAAGCTGACTATTGTGCTGTTGTTATAATGTAAACAACTTGTTTAATGGTTTTTATTTTTCTTTGTGCTGAAAATGAACTTGCAGAAAAATTATTACATATATTCGTCAAAGATTATTGTCCCTTAATACCAGACAACTATAAATAACAAAATTTATTGACCAAAATTAAAATCTCATTACTTGTTTTAGACAATAAAGAATAAGTTTAACTTTATGTAACGGGAAATACTATTTAAACTTTATTTAAGGACCTTATTTAGAGACTTAATTTCAATGCCACTCTCTCCTGATTTTAAAATTTAACTACACACCCTTCTAGTTTATACTTTCAAATCAATGACACCCTCTTAACGATAATTTTTGCCTCTACCAATAGATAAAGTAATAATTTGACTAAATATTTTATAAGAATGTCAAAATTATCCTTTGTTATGTAAATAGACAAAAATACCTTCAATCATTTTCCTATTGTATATGCTCTAGACAACCAGCAAGCGTAATTTATATATCATTTTATTATCTCAATGAATGTTTATCATTTTAAAGCATTGCATGATAACTTTGTTATAATATTAGTCATCATATTATCACTCATTTCGTTAAATAATCAAGTTTTTTATAATTTTATAATTAAAAATATTTTTTTATAATAAAAATTACAATCGATAAAGTCAAAGTCAAAATCTCATCCATTTCTAACTCCTCTGTTATCTTTTATTCTCCACAACGTCACCTAACCTTTCTTCGCACATTATCCTTCATATATAAATTTTAAATATTATTTGATAAAATTTAATATTAATTGAATAAATTTGGTCTTAATTTNTTTCTTCGCACATTATCCTTCATATATAAATTTTAAATATTATTTGATAAAATTTAATATTAATTGAATAAATTTGGTCTTAATTTGGTAAATTAAAATATCAATTTAGTATTGATTTGATAAAATTTAATGTTAATTAAATAAGTTTGAATGTTACTTTAATAAAATTGAATGTTCATTTAGTGTTAAATTAAATAAATGGCATTAACTTGATAAGTTTAAATGTTAAATTAATAAAATTTAATTTTCTATTTAATATATTAAATTTTAATTTAATAATATTAAATGTCAATTTGGTATTGATTTGATGAAATTGAAAAATAATTTAATGTTAAATTAAAGATATAACATTAATTTGATGAAATAAAATATTAAATTAATATAACTAAATGCTAGTTTGATAAAATTAAATATCAATTTTGTGTTGATTTAATGAGATGGAATGTTAATTTAGTTTAAATTAAATAAAAGACATTAATTCGATAAAATTAAATATTAAATTGGTGAACCTAAATGTTAATATAATAGAATTAAAAATGAGTGAATTGAAATTTTAGAATCAGAAAGTGATATTATAAAATTAGATCTATTTACAGGGGGTGTTGTTAATGTTAAGTCTATGTATAAGGGATGTAGATAAAATTTAACCTATATAGTACTCAGGGGTATTTCTATAAATCAACAATCGTCATTAATGCCATAACTCAGCAAGTATTAATAAGGGTGATAGTGAAGTTTTAAAATTGGAAGGAGATGTCATTGAATTTAAACCAAACTATAGACAATGTAGATGAAATTTTTCCTAAATTTCATTGGTTAGAAAAGAATTCATATATTTAATCAATTATTCGAATTCGTTATATGAACTTTTTTGGATTTAGTTGTAGATATATCTATATTTGATTTGATCAAAATAATATAAATTTGTATATAAATATAACTGAGTAATTATTTAACATAACTAAATTTTTATTTAAATTTCATGAGTTGTTTGGTTATAATTAAAATTTATTTCTTAAGTTTTAACGGATTTAGATGTTTATTGAATCAATGAAATTGGTTGAATATTTCAATCAAATATGAATTCCTAATCGCTAAATTCTAATTAAAATTTGATTTGTTGACAGGTCTAAGGCATATAGAGTATGTTATAGATGACCAAAAGCCAAAAAGAAAAAAAGAAAAAAAAAAGTCGGTTAATTAGTAATTAAATAATCTGCAAAACCGCCATTAATGATTTGTCGACGTCGGCTAATATTTAAGTGGAGGAACTGGAGATATATATCTATATATATAGATATATGTGTGTGTGCGTGTGTGTATAAATGGGACACGTTTTGTATAAGTACATATGCATGTATGTGGCTTTTAATTAATTAATTAATTAATTGTTTGACTTGGTAGTTCCATTTGCCGCACTTTGATTTATTTAAAACTTAGACGTGTAGTGTTGGATAATTGATTGATTAATTTAAAGTGTCTAAGCACTCTGACCCCAGTAGTTAATGTTGCCACGTGTGTGACAGTTCAAGACCAACCACGAACAATTTTCTATGTAATCACGCTTTTTATCCTATGATTCTTTTNGCACTCTGACCCCAGTAGTTAATGTTGCCACGTGTGTGACAGTTCAAGACCAACCACGAACAATTTTCTATGTAATCACGCTTTTTATCCTATGATTCTTTTATTAATTAATTTGTTGGTGTTTGAAGCATGTCCGAAAATGTATACTC